GGGCTAGATAGGTACAGTGCTGAGTATAGCATTCTCGACTTCCTGCTACATTACGATATTTGCAAAGCTTAGTCATCATCAAGCCCAAGTTCAAGATCATATCCCCTATGGACAACATAGCAATGGTGGAAGCCAGCTGAATATCCCACGCTATCGAAAGACAGTGAAAAGTGCTCTGTGGGTGCAACTGACCTGGTTTTTTTGCTTTCTTCCTTTTGCCGTGGAGAAAACACTCTTTGCCATAAATGGACTCGAGTCATCTTCTCTCTCCAATGCAGCAGCGTCGTTTGTGTCACTGAGTTCTGCTCTAAATCCAATAATTTACTCTTGGAAAATAACTTAGGTTAGACAAGGAATAAGGGTGACTTAAGTACAGCTTTGTTCACACTTGAGTTTATTGTTTGTCTCGTAAGCTTCTTCAAAACATCTTTATGTAAACGAAAAACAAAAGTTTTTTTTTATCTAAAAGGAGCACAAAAATATACAGACGCAATTTAATGCGAACACTTGACTGAATCGTCGCAGATTACAGGAAAAAAAATATTCCGTCTATATTCAGCAAAGTCTATACGTAGTTGTAAATATTGAGGTAGCCTTTGATATGGAGATATATACTCTCCCCAAGTACAGTTTAGTTCTTATTGACTTAGATATACTTGAAATTAGTGAAGGAACATCGATATTATCTGCATATCTACCTACGGGCTAAAGGCATATCTGTAAACAGGAAAAACCATTTAGAGGAAAATAAGACGGCTTCTGTATAGGAATAATGATATATACGTTATGAAATATGATATATATATTGAATTTAGGCACTTACAAAATAGCCTTAATATAATGTATTCGCCATGTAGGCAATGCGAACGTCACACGTTACACATAACTCACGAATACAAATACCCAGAATTGATTTTTAAAGGTTACAGGCTAGGAAGGATATTTCCTCCAATATTTTCAAAATATATAGTATTACACGATTAACCGTCACTTCCGAAGAAGCGCCCTGCATACATGTTCTATTGAAAGATGGCGGAGCTGTTAAAGAGCATTTCTTTATTTCGGTTTTGATTGTTATAACCTCTCCCTTGCATTACAGTAGAGGCCTTATTCAGCTCTACGTCTGAAAAATAAAACTGTTCTCTGATTCGTCACAAGATAATTAACGCCAGATGGGCCGAGGTACATTAGATGTCTATCATCATCAACTCGATTTTTCTCTTATATCAAAAATTGTTTATTTCATCGTTACATGCTCACTTTGGAGGCTGGTTGGCTGCATGTGATGCTTTAATGCATGTGATGCTTTAATGTGACAGCGTGATGCTGTTAGTGAGCTTCTATGCGCTAGCTGATGTTT